ACTGACTAAAAGGTGTGGTGAAGATCTATAATTATTCTAATATGTAATAAGCCCTCCCTATTTCACTAGATTAGGCTTGAAAATCATGTGAAGTATCATACCGCCATTTGCATAAACTGATTTATTGACTCTCTTTTAAAATATATTACACAAGACAGATTGATAAAAAGTTTATATTAAAACTCAAGCTTGTCATCAAGTGGTTATAATATATAAATAAGAGTACTCTTATTATTTCAAAATGATTAGTCTAAAAAACAAAATCCGTGCTTATTTACATACACAAAACCAGCCAGTTCACTACGGACTGGATATACAAAATTAATAAATGAACCACCCCCTTACATATCGTAATAAGATCACCAGTCTGAACATTCACACAAAAACATCTCTCTTGCTTTGCCTACCTAACCTACAATTAAATCTATAAACACTTATTCCACATCATACAGAAGCAATATATACACTTAAGTTTCACAAATAATCACCAGCAGTTAAGCAATATTATTATATAACTCATATATGGATTGCTTTCTATAACTTGCACTGAGTCCAAAGTAAACCCTCTGAAGTTTCACACTTTTTTTTTTCAAATAAGTTTATTATATAAAATTATTATTTGGGTCTATACACGAAACATGGAAATTTTATGCAGGAATTTAACTGGATATCTTTGCAGTAAAAAGTACAAATCAACACAACTAACTTCTGTTAATTCACATTATATCTTTCTTCAGTGATATACAGTTCTTTCTTACTTGTATATCTAATAGGAGTTTCAAAGATCAAGTTTGGTTCTTGGACAAAGATAATAAAAAAAGCCATAAGTTAATCAGTCACTCATCTCAGTAAAATTAATACCTTAACTAATAAGAGAAATGTCAACAGTTTTATTTTCTCAAGACTTTATTAGCTTTCAAGCTCTTCACTAGCAAACTGGAAAATGCGGGGGTATTAGTGTTCATTTCTTTTTTTCTAGATTAAGTTGAAAAACCCTGAAATAAGACATTAACTGAATCAAATATTAGAAATAAAGTTAATTAATAGTAACTTTCACTGCATACATGAAATGTTACAGTTCTTAAACATTGTCAGCCATATTATAAGGACATCATTGAAACATTACTGCTGGAATTGTGTAGTTTCAGTTAATGTATAGAAAAACAACAGAGTAGAAAAAATTTGTATGTTAGGATTAAGAATAACCAGTACAGGTATGATCTGATATGACAATATTTTTTGTGGTTTATGTAATTTCTCAAATATGAAAGATAGGTACCTAATCAATTATTGAAACAATGTGATAAAAGTAGACATTTTCAGAAATTATAAATAAACAGATGAACGTATCTTTATGGTGAGGTATGATATTTAAGCACTATAACAGCTGAAGTGTCCAAAATAAGTGTAAATATACTGTTTCAGCTTAAGTTCCTAAAATCCACACTTTTGAATTTTTCAAACTTTTATTTACAGATCAGGATGAACTTATATATTTTACAATACACCATCATTTAATTGTGATCTTCAGTTTACGTAGTAGCTTACATCTGCTCCAGATATAACAGCAAGAAAAACAACAGAGATTTGAGGATATTTTAAGTTTTAAATGAACCAAATGCGCAGTGTTCTAACATGTAAGCTTCAGAAATGGTGCAGTAAAACAAAAAGCAATCAAAATGATTCATACTGTTGATTTAGAGTCAGTTTTAAGTACCACTGAAATAAAGAAATGTCCAGTAATTAGGAAATCACTGTTTGCTCCTGAACTCTTCATTGGTAGTATTACTTTCTGAGGGTACATTCAACCTCTGGCTGGTTATAACCAAAAATTTTTACTATATTTTGGAAGAAGTATGGTTAATAATTATAATGTATCCTTAGAAAATTCTTCAAACTGTTATATATATTATGTTTGTGTGTATATATATAATTAATATGCATTAAGCATGATAAGATAAAACATTTATGTAATCAACTCTTTATATTTTAAGATTTCAGTTGTTCAAATGCTTATTAGGTGTTTGTGTTCAAAATAAACCAATATATCACATTAAAAACAATGAATATACTGCTAATGGAAATTTTTATATTAAAAATATTAAAAATGCTGACTTTTTCAATATAAAAGCCAAGAAAAATAATCTAAATGCAAACTTAGTAAGATTCCTGTTAAAATTTTAGTTTGACACACATTTTCATTTGTACTGTCTCCAACCAGTCTAGTTTTGCAAACTTAGTAAGATTCCTGTTAAAATTTTAGTTTGACACACATTTTCATTTGTACTGTCTCCAACCAGTCTAGTTTTGCAAACTTAGTAAGATTCCTGTTAAAATTTTAGTTTGACACACATTTTCATTTGTACTGTCTCCAACCAGTCTAGTTTTGCAAACTTAGTAAGATTTATGGTAAAATTTTAGTTTGACACACATTTCAATTTGTACTGTCTCCAACCAGTCTAGTTTCTACAGTAATAAAAAATGTATAAAGAATAATATTTCAATTCAGAAAGTATTGCATAAATACTTTTACACTGGTGTTATAGATTTAATATTAACTACAATGCCTGAACAGGGAAATGTGTAATATGCATTTGGATTTTTTACAGTACCAAAACTAAACTAACACTTCCATTGTAGGGGTAGAAAAATGTATATTAATTACATGAAAAACAGAATCCTCAAGTGTTAAATTTCAGTGTGTATATTTCCGATACAGAGAAATAAGCTACAATGGTTGAATGCTAACAATTTTAAAAATCCATTCTCGTGTTACATTTGTTTGTTTGTTTGTTTAGCGAATCTCTTGTAAAACTATACGAGGGCTAACTGCAATGGCGTTCCTAATTTTGAAATGATAGACTAGAGGAAAAGCACCACACACCACACTGCAAACTCTTGGGCTATTTTTATCAGAATGAATAGTGGGATTTGACCATCACTCTTGTAATGCACCCACAGCCCCAAAGTTCAGGTTGCAAAAAATGTCTTCTTTTTTTGCTGTAACGGGATACGAACCACAAAATCTCAGATATACAGTCTGGCACACTACCGGCTGAGCCATTCATATAATTGATAAGTACTTCTAAACAAAATAAACAACCTATATATACCAGAACTTCTAGAAGGCCGAGAGCTACAAGCTTATACTTGTCTTTCCATTACCTTTGTAATGTATTTGTTTAGTTATCTTACTGAAAAAAAAAAAAAACGTTGTAAAACTAGCAGACATCAAAATACCTTTCAGTAAACAGTACATTGTAAAGGCAATTACATTGGTTTTACATTATTACTCAAAAAACAGAATCCTTATGTCTTAAATTTAAGTGTATATATATATTTTTAAACTTGTTTGTTTACTGTTCTTAAATGTTTCAGCTGGGAACGTCATATCTCAGCTCTGTATACTGTTACTTCCTAATATCGAAGTTATGTGTACAATGCTTAAGCTTGTGGAACAGGATTCTTATTAGAGAATCAAATATGATGAAACATCACAATAATATTGAAATTATTCTCAAACAGTTAACTCCTTGCCAGTCAACCTGGTTGTCCAATGGATTTTAAGATGTTTTTCTTAAATATCTCGATCTAAGTTATGGTACTTCATTGAAATCTATATTTGTTGTAAAAAAGATTTCATAAATGTGAAAAGCCCCTCCCCCCTAACTGTGCATATAGCTGTATATATATCTTTATAAGTAATCTTTAATTGAATAATTAGGTTCCAAAGCTAAATTAAGCTCAATTAGATAAGTACACAACAAGTAATGTTAGAGAATGAGTCTTAAATAATAATGCAAATCTAATTGCATTTTAGGTAAAAAAAAAATGAACCTCTATTACTTGAAATTAATATTTTAAGTCATTTCGTATATCCATTTAAATCAATAAATTTTCTGATTAAATAAAATATACTGTTTCTTCAAGAACTTTTTATAAAATTAAAAAATTACATAAGTAAAAAAAAATATTAATTAGACAATAATTAGGAAAATAACTCCACAAAAAAATTAAATCAAGATTATAATCATATCAGAAAATCAGGTTTCAGTGTTTGTCCTTTTATAAATAAAAATCTGAACAAATAATGCCCACAAGCCATACTGTCATTTACAAATCTGTAAAAAAAAAAATTCCTATTATGCTGGTGTGTTGTCTTAAACAGAGGGATTAAATACTTAATAAATGACAAATAAAACTTCCACAAAACAAAATACTGCTTCTTATCGGTAAAGAAGATTCGATTAGACAGTATTTCAAATCTGGAGACGGTGGCTCCAGGAAATTGTTAAGTACTGTTATTTTTTCACATGAAGTAAAAGTTATTGTTGGTTATTACTTTATTTTGATAAGCTGTACTTCATTTATGTCATTCATACTGAATGAGTAATATTAAATGTTTTAATTTTGCTAGTAACTATTGCAAACATACTTGGCTAAATAAAGTGACCACTGTTTGAAGCACTGAAACTGATACATGTGGTTGAATGAGATTAAACCTTTACTATAACAATGTAACTAAACTGAGTTATTCAGTAATTATTTTTTACGAATCCTATACAACTAATAAAAAAGGGTTAGAAAGTTTGTTTCTTATGACAAAAAAGTTTTTTTAATGTATACATTGGTCCATCTTGTTTAGTCTTTTTTTTTTGAAGAACACTAGTCTTTAATATTTTTTTTACTATTTCCAAATTTTTTATTTTCTATTTAATGTGTTTCCAATAAAACATATCACCATTAAAAAAAACATTAAAATAACCTACTGTTCTTGAGAAGAAGCATATATTTAATTACAAACAGTACATGAATAGCCAAATTTAAAAGATGCCTCTCTTGGGTCACAAAAGGAGAAGAAAAATTGTTTGTATGTTTATGATAATGTTTTCTTTCTTTTTTTTTTAGCTAATATCATTCTTGAGGGGCTAGATATATGTAAACAAATGACCTCAAAAATATCAATTATGACAAGTTAATAAAAAAACAAAATCTGTCTGTGCTGCTCTAAAGAAGATATTTTTTATTTGTGACCTCATGTAAAAAATGACACAGGAGGCACAAGTTCTTTAAAATTTTATGGTGATTTCTAAAAACTATGGTGCACAATGCCTGTCCACACACAACAACAAAACTGCAACAGCAAATCTGAAATATAGGCTATTAACTTATAATTTTGTGTGGATAGTTATCCCACCAAAAACGTTATAAAACAAATTAGTGCTTACATTACCTATTAACATTTTCTGTTTACACCTATACAAAAAGCAGCTGTAGTACAGATACATCCATTCTTTCTTTACCTACATTAATGGGCGGCTCACAAAAAATCATTCCGGAGGATTTCCTCCAACTGCTTCGGCACCAATCCTAGTCTTCTTAAGACAAATTTGGATTATCCATACAATTCAACAATAAATTCAGATAAAGTTTGTAGTGTACATGTATAGTCCAAACATTACAGGATGCAAAAAAAAAAGGTCTTTTGTACACACGGAGTTACACACGTGTATAAACTACAGGGTTAACACCAACAGTTATTTAAAATATATTCAAATGAACATAACTCCCAAATGCATAACTGAAAAGTGTGCTTTTGAGAGAGAGAGTTTTTTTTTGTTTTTTTTTTTCATGAAGAGTCCTCAGTAAAAATGAGGCACGAAATATAGTATCAACAGTTACTTGGGACAATATAACAAACAGAAGCACTGAACAAGTAGTAGTAGCAGCAGTAGTGTGTGTATATATATATATATATATTTGTATATTATATACTTATATATTATTTTGTCCTTCTATGTTTAGGTCCACGCGATCTTCCTGTTTTTGAACAGGGCACAGTCACATTTTGATGAACACCACTTCCAGAACCACCACCTGAAGCAGATGCTGGTCTATCTAACTCCAGCATTGCTTCTTGAATAGCATTTTCCAAATTTGAGTTCATTTTTCTTCCCCTAAGCAATAGAAAAAAAAAAAAAAACACTTCAGCAAGAATATACATAACTTTACAGCAAGTGACACATAATCTCAATCTGGTTTTTATAAAGGTTGAACCCTATTCAAACAACATTACAACTGTATGCCTCTTTAAACTCAGCAAAAATAACTGCCCTTTGACATCACATCTTTATAAAGAAATATACATAATAACAGCTGAAAACCTAATTCTAAATCGAACAAACTGAATACAGTTTCTTAAGTTTCCATAATACTCACATTCCTATGAATGATTTGATACCAGACTCTATCACAGTTTATGAGAAGAAACTTCTAAAAGAATTATATGTACAATGTGTTTGAGAAAATTTTATAAAGAGGCAACTGCCAATTAAAATAAGTAATTCAAACTTTATACACAATTAAAATAGGCATGCACAGAGAATAAACAAACTAAATTAACAGATGTTTATATATATATATATATAACATGGTCATTAATATCACTTCAAATACAGTAGGTCATCAAGAAATTTATGTCGCTTTTTTTTTTAGATGAAATAACCCGAACAACTTGTATATCAAAAGAAAACATTTATTAAATGAAATAGTCTCCATTCTTGTCAATGACACTTTTCCATCTTACAATCAGGTTGTTAATGCCCTGATTATAGAAATCACTTGACTTTGAAGCTAAAAACATGTCGATGTCCTCTACATTTCCATATGTCTTCCCAATAAGATGGTGTTACAGCAAACGAAAAAGATGGTAATCTGATGGTGCCATATCTGGAAAACTTCTCAACCCAACTCCATAATTTTGTGTTGCATCAAATGTACCACCTGTGGATGTACATTGTCGTGGAGAAGAACACGTTTCCAATTGACGAGTGAAGGGCATTTCTGATAAAGGGATTGATTTAAATGTTCCAGTTGCTGACTATAGATCTCTACATTGACAGTTCGCTGTGGACTGAGGAGTTTGAAATGAATTACTCCTTTGATGTCCCACCAAATGCAAAGCATCACTTTCTGCGGATGAAGTCCAGGTTTTCAGGTCGGAAGTGTTTTTTGTCTAGGACTGAGCAATTGTTTTTGGCATTTAATATTCACATAGAGAATCCATTTTTCATCACTGAAGACAATTCTGTCCAAAAATGGTTCATACGCATTACGCGCTAGAAGAGATGAAGCAACGTTCACATATTGGAAACAATGATTATCGGAGAGTTCATGAGGCACCCAAACACCTTCTTTATGGAGTTTTCCCATATTCCTTAGAT